AGGGACACTTCTTTAGTGTTAACCTGCTTTAAAACGGTTTAACACTAAATGGAGGGCCAGGAGACTCCATGCACTACAACCAAGTCAAAGAGAGGAAATGGTTATAGTGGCTGCAGTGTTTCTCTAATTTAGTTGAAGAATAGGACCCCGAGCAAATGCCACTTTGTACCTGGCAATAAAATATTAAGAACCACTGACAAATGACTTGGATGAGCAGGAATGTTCTGACTGTGGTTTTTACAATGTGTTACTGAAACGTATTTTATGGCAAGCAAACGGGATCCTTCATCACACTTACATGCTATTACACTGCAACATTTAAATGACTTCTCTCTAAAAATAGACACAGAGATACCATGGGTTTAACCGCAGTCTGAATGTGCTGCCTCACTATATGTTTCCTGTACAGTGCACTTACCGTGAGGTCCACCCATCAATCAGCCTGTTTATTTCATGCAAAATTAATAAAACCTTACCATATTATACGGCTTTGGGTAAATGACACAGACACTCAACCAATCAAGATATCTTTACTTCTTTCACACTGCAAGAGTAGAGAGGTCCTTTTGTTTCTGATGTTCTATAATGTACGTCCCGATATGCATAGAATTCAGCATACCACACCCCTTTATCTTGCTAGATCCATCTCAGTTTTAGCAAATGCCAAGGAATATCATGGCTAATCTTAGCATTCTATATGTTTGTGAACTACAATTCCCATGGTGCCTAGCAATCCATCGAGAAATGTGATCAAAAATAGCCAGTGCTGGTCCAGGTGAAACAAAAAAATTATATACATTTTGCCACATATAGATGCTTGGACAACCAGCAAGTAACACATTTACAGGCAGTTAATCAGTATCTTATACTTGTTTCAGTTCAGTTGGCAGGTACCACAGTGGATACCACTCCACTTCACAACCAGTTGCTGCCATCTTAGAACTAGCAAAAAATATAATTTTAAGTAGTAATGATGTAGAAAAATGCAAAGTTTTGCACTTCGGGGTAAAGAATGCACAAGCAACTTATACCCTTAATGGAAGTGAATTAGGGATAACAACACACGAGAAGGACTTGGGTATTGTTATAGACAACAAACTATGCAACAATGTGCAATGTCAATCAGCAGTGGCTAAGGCCAGTAAGGTTTTGTCATGCATGAAAAAGGGCATTCATTCTCGGGACGAGAATATCATTTTGCCTCTTTATACAGGGAGTGCAGAATTATTAGGCAAGTTGTATTTTTGAGGATTAATTTTATTATTGAACAACAACCATGTTCTCAATGAACCCAAAAAACTCATTAATATCAAAGCTGAATATTTTTGGAAGTAGTTTTTAGTTTGTTTTTAGTTATAGCTATGTTAGGGGGATATCTGTGTGTGCAGGTGACTATTACTGTGCATAATTATTAGGCAACTTAACAAAAAACAAATATATACCCATTTCAATTATTTATTATTACCAGTGAAACCAATATAACATCTCAACATTCACAAATATACATTTCTGACATTCAAAAACAAAACAAAAACAAATCAGTGACCAATATAGCCACCTTTCTTTGCAAGGACACTCAAAAGCCTGCCATCCATGGATTCTGTCAGTGTTTTGATCTGTTCACCATCAACATTGCGTGCAGCAGCAACCACAGCCTCCCAGACACTGTTCAGAGAGGTGTACTGTTTTCCCTCCTTGTAAATCTCACATTTGATGATGGACCACAGGTTCTCAATGGGGTTCAGATCAGGTGAACAAGGAGGCCATGTCATTAGATTTTCTTCTTTTATACCCTTTCTTGCCAGCCACGCTGTGGAGTACTTGGACGCGTGTGATGGAGCATTGTCCTGCATGAAAATCATGTTTTTCTTGAAGGATGCAGACTTCTTCCTGTACCACTGCTTGAAGAAGGTGTCTTCCAGGAACTGGCAGTAGGACTGGGAGTTGAGCTTGACTCCATCCTCAACCCGAAAAGGCCCCACAAGCTCATCTTTGATGATACCAGCCCAAACCAGTACTCCACCTCCACCTTGCTGGCGTCTGAGTCGGACTGGAGCTCTCTGCCCTTTACCAATCCAGCCACGGGCCCATCCATCTGGCCCATCAAGACTCACTCTCATTTCATCAGTCCATAAAACCTTAGAAAAATCAGTCTTGAGATATTTCTTGGCCCAGTCTTGACGTTTCAGCTTGTGTGTCTTGTTCAGTGGTGGTCGTCTTTCAGCCTTTCTTACCTTGGCCATGTCTCTGAGTATTGCACACCTTGTGCTTTTGGGCACTCCAGTGATGTTGCAGCTCTGAAATATGGCCAAACTGGTGGCAAGTGGCATCGTGGCAGCTGCACGCTTGACTTTTCTCAGTTCATGGGCAGTTATTTTGCGCCTTGGTTTTTCCACACGCTTCTTGCGACCCTGTTGACTATTTTGAATGAAACGCTTGATTGTTCGATGATCACGCTTCAGAAGCTTTGCAATTTTAAGAGTGCTGCATCCCTCTGCAAGATATCTCACTATTTTTGACTTTTCTGAGCCTGTCAAGTCCTTCTTTTGACCCATTTTGCCAAAGGAAAGGAAGTTGCCTAATAATTATGCACACCTGATATAGGGTGTTGATGTCATTAGACCACACCCCTTCTCATTACAGAGATGCACATCACCTAATATGCTTAATTGGTAGTAGGCTTTCGAGCCTATACAGCTTGGAGTAAGACAACATGCATAAAGAGGATGATGTGGTCAACATACTCATTTGCCTAATAATTCTGCACTCCCTGTAAATCACTGGTTTGACCACATCTTGAATATGCTGTGCAATTTTGGGCACCTGTTCTACAGAAGGATATTATGGAAGTAGAAAAAGTGCAGAGACATGCTGCAAAATTAATAAAAGGAACGGAACATTCTAGCTATTAACAAATTTAAACCTCTTTAGTTTAGAAAAACGTTGCCTAAGAGGGGTATGATAACATTAAACAAATATATCCGGGGCCAATACAAACCATTGTGTGGAAATCTATTCACAAACAGGACTTTATATAGGACACAAGGTCATGTGTTTAGACTGGAAGAAAAGAGATTTAGTCTATGGCAAAGGAAAGGTTTTTTTACTGTAAGAACAATAAAGATATGTAATTCTCTGCCTGAAGAAGTGGTTTTATCGGAGTCCATACAGATGTTTAAACAGCAACTAGATGCATACTTGTAAACAAAAGAATATTCAATGAAATTAATTTTCAACTTCTTGAGCCAAAGTTAAATCTGACTTTCATTCTGAGGTCAAGAAGGATTTTTTTTCCTACTTTGTTGCAAAATTGGAAGTGCTCAAACTGTTATTTTGCCTTCTTTTGGATCAACAGCAAAAAACAAATGTGAGGAAGGCTGAACAAGTCTCTTTTCAGCCTATGTAACTATGATCATGGGTTTGTGTTAGGAACACGGTAAGGAGCATGCATGTTATACATAAAAGCAAATACGGCATTTCTCTGTAACACCAAGCTAGATGGAGGAGTTTGCAGCTCCAAAGAGAAGTTGGGATGTGAACTCCAGGAGCTGTACCACCGGCATCATACCGCCCTTATAAAAGGTATACAATGGGTGGGCAAAAAAAAAAGGGTTTCGATTCACAATAAAATGTGTCTTAAGCTTCCTCATACACAAGGTACATTGAGGCAGATTTATCAAAGAGTTCTGTTCTAAAAAGTGGTAAAAAATTATTTTAAAAAAAGAGGAGGAATTGCCAATGGAATGTGTTTCCATGTGTGATTGCCCAACTTTTAGCACTTTGGACCACTTTTTAGAACAGAAAACAGAAAACCACCATCTATCCCCCCTGGGCCCCTCGTGCCTTCATAAATATAGTAAAAATCTTTCTGTATTCAAGCCAAAAGCTGTAACTCTGCATACTGTTAGACTCAGAAAAAAAAGCAGTCTGCTGACATCATCAGACGTGGTGACCTGATCCAATCACAATGCTTCCCCATAGGATTGGCTGAGACTGACAAGGAGGCAGATCGGGGGCAGAGCCAGCATGATTCAAACAGAGCCCTGGCCAATCAGAATCTCCTCAGATGAATTGAACCAATGGAGGAGATACTAAATGTTTGGATGCATTTTAGGCAGCCATGACCCAGGAAGGATCTCTAACAGCCATCTGAGGAGTGGCCAGTGAAGTTATCACTAGGCTGTAATGTAAACACTGCATTTTCTCTGAAAAGACAGTGTTTGCAGCAAAAAGCCTGAAGGTAATGATTCTACTCACCAGAACAAATTCAATAAATTGTAGTTGTTCTGGTGACTATAGTGTCCCTTTAAGTTATTAAATAGTTCCAAGGGCCCTAACTATGCAAGGATCTATTTCCAGTAACAGCATTTAAAGTTTCAAAGTTTGCTGTATTATATAAAAGAAAACATTCATTCTACAATTCAGCTAAACTGTAAAAAAGAACACACTTCTTAAAGGGACACTATAGTCACCAAAACAACTTTAGCTTCATGAAGCAATTTTTGGTGTATAGATCATGCCTCTGCAGTCTCTGTCATTTATGAGTTAAAATAACTTTTGTTTCTATTTATGCAGTAGCCGATCTCCCCAGGCTGTGACTGACACAGGCTGCATGAATAAAAATTGTTTCTTTTTCAATCAGATGTTACTTACTTTAAACATCTTTTCCTCCCGCTATTGTAAATTAAAGTTTAATTACATACAGGAGTTTCATGCAGGGTCTATCAAGCTTTTAACAGAGCAGAAGATAGGAAATTCTAACTTAAACATAATTTGCTGTAAAGGAAGTATAAACATTAGATAACTATTTACAGAAAGTGTTTAGGAAGGTTGTGTAAGTCACATGCAGGGAGGTGTGGCTAGGGCTGCATTAAAAAAAAGTGATTTAACTCCTAAAGGGGTTGGAATTGAGCAGAGAGACTGCAGGTGCATGATCTATACACCAAAACTGCTCACTAATCTAAAGTTGTTTTGGTGACAATAAAGTCCCTTTAAAAATCATGCCATTACACTGGGCGGAGACAGCAGCGTGGGGAGCAAGATGCCATCTTATACAGCTCCGATACCTCAGCTCGGGAAAACCCGACTTACCGCAAGACACACGCGGCAGCCATCTGCACAACTGCCACCCTTGCACTAGGGTAGCCCCAGCTGTCCGGTAAATTACATTTTTATTTACCACGAGTACTAAAACGCGGTGCCGAGGATCACAGGCCAACCGCGTGGACATCCTGCGGCGGCCGGAGAATGGATTTGGAACACCACTGACTTTGACACAGCCTGAACACATCCAGGCACAGATGAAGCACCTACTGACACACCAATGGGACACAAATCCCACAGGAACAATCAAGATATCAGCCTGATGCTGGCCTCCACTTCACAACCTCGGAAATCACCACCCCCTCAGCCTCAAACACCCCACGACCTTTAATGTCGGGGAAGCTCCTGTGGCAGAAGCCACAGCAGTGAATGGGGCCACAACACCAGCTACTAAACAGGACATTCATAACCTATTTGCACACTTTAAAGATCTGTTTACAGCCGAATTAAACCTGGTGAAAATAGAGATGCAGGCCATAATTAACAGGCACCAGGCCTCAGAAGAGCACAAGATTAACCTGAAACAAGACATGCAAGCCCAAGCTGAATCGCTGCAGCACCTGCAAACCTTGCACTCTCAACTAACCACTAGAGTGGATCTTCTGGAAGATAGGGGTTGGCAAAAGAACGTCAATATCAGTGGAGTGGCAGATTCTATTCCCACAGATGAGCTCCCTCAATTTATCAGATGCCTCATTGCCACAGTCCTACCAGCCAAATTCGCCAAGCAATTTGTGTATGATTGGCTGTGTCAGATCTCCAAATCCTCCGAGGCACCTAACAACGACCCAAGGGACATTATCATCTGCTACCTGACCTATGCGGAAAAACACTGGCTACTGTACGTACTACGAGGGAAAATCCCCACTCCAATTCGAATCCCATACGATTACCTTCTTTCAAGATCTGATCAAAGCGACACTCTTATGGAGGAAATTGATTAAACCTCTCACACAGGCACTGCTGACTGCAAACCTTCCCTTCAGATGGACTTACCCCAGATCCGTCACAGTCACCAAAGATGGAAAGGCATAAAGAGCATCGAGTCCAGCGGAGAGCCCCACTATCTTGCAGGCTTTGGGCCTTTTGGTACAGACCCTCTCCTCCACGTCTACCTCCCACATTTGCTATGTTTCCCGGATCACACCGTTCGTCCCTGGCGGAGACCAGAACTCTGTGACCAGACGGCAAATATGATACTCTCACGCAAACAGTTTATCTTTTATGTTTTAAAATTGTTTTACAATCGTTTTATTTTTATACCTTCGAATCAGGTTATGCTGATACCAAATTGCTTTTTTGCTATACTATTGCCCTGAATGCATACCGCTCTCATTTGCTCTCTACACTGTTATATCCATATCCTGACAAACGCCAACACTCTCCACTACTCACCACATACAGTGGGACATATAGATGAATAGAACCAACTTCACTACTCAGACCCCCTGCCCAACCAACCGTTACCCCACAGGATAGGGGACTTAATAGGGGAGGGTAGCACCCTGTTTTGTAATAGTTCCTAACCTCGTACTTAGGTCCTAACACAGTTTGCCTAGAATGATTCTCATGGGTTTGAGCCCAAGGAACTACCTCCTCCATTTCACAAGTCCTGCATAGTAGCCCACCACACCAACCTCTTCACAATAGTACTGTGAGACGGTGACACACATCTTCTCTCCTCTTTTGCCCCTACACACAACCAACTTACATACTTGTGTACCATGTTGTCGAAAATAAAATGTGCAGTTCAACACGTGTCCCTCGCAATGTTACGCCTGTAATTAATGCTAGTCTCGCTATTGCTTTTGGGGCATGACAGGACCATTTATATTACCTATGCACGAAAAATAAGGAATTATAAAAAAAACTAAATTTTTTTACACTGTCTGGAATCTGCTTAGCTCAATATGAAGAATAGAGGCTCAACTAGTTTGCGACAATTGTTGCTTCCAAAAATCCAGGCGATCTTTTTATATCTAATCAATAGAGACTATCCTCAATACTCCTGTATTAACAAATCAGTGTTTTTTGTTTTGTTTTTTTTAATCATTTTCTTATCATCTATCCTTTCTCAAGAATTCTACAAAACCAAACTGGAAGGCTATAGATATCTTTTAAATTGCGTGTGCAATAGCAAACATAGTATTCAGTCAGAAAGAAGTTTATCAATTATTCAATCAATCGGTCGATATTAAAGCTCATTAGGCAAAGTCTTTTTCTCTATTAGGGGAATTCAGTTTGCTATGGGTCATTTGCGAATAATATATATACAGTATCTGAAGATAAAAATATTTTAGGATGAGTCTCATCCTATAATGGACTTGTCGACAATGACATTTAAAGTGGACCTGTATGTTAACTAATTGATAAATAAGTTAACTGCTTGTAATGGAAACCATTAAAAGTTTGACAATTTTTTACAGTGCAATTAAACCCAAAGGAAATATGGTCAATATTTAGAATGCAACATGCAGACAAAACTAATATTTATATATTTATATACAGTTATATTTAATCTGAACAGTATTGTGCTGCATGAAGTACACAACACATTCAGAAGACACGTTTTTGTGAGTCGACAGCTTGTGTGATAAGCGACTCAGATGGCTACACAATGGTCCAGGTAAGCAAGACTTCCAGCTGCAAGTTGAGTGGCAATAAGAAAACCTTTACCAGAATTCCAAAATAAGATAAAGAGGCTTTGGTATACCATGAAGCCACTGGACTATTGAAGACTGGAAGAAGGTCACATGGACCGACAAATCCAAATTTGGACCTTCAGTCAAAATGCAGGGTTATTATATGGTGTTGAGTAGGTTAAAGGATAGTTCTTCACTGTGTTAGATCAACATGGAGGAGGAAGCATAGTATGCTGGGCATCTTTTAGAAGCCTCGAGTGAAAAATGTACCTTTTTGGAATCTGTGTTGGCTGGCTTTGAGCTTTGAATTGTAAAATGTTCACTGTAGTACAATCAGCCTCCCATGCTTGATAATAGAGCTGCAGGAACAGTGAGTGAGGATGTAAATCTCAGTGTTGTCCAAGCTCTTCCAGGGTCTGTGTGTGAGGCTGGACAGGAAGTGGAAGGGATCACTTCCCATCTGCCCACTAACAGCCTAACAGGAAATGCCTTGCAGGAGGAGCAGGGACAGGAGTGAGTGTCTGAGTGATACACACTGTATAACAACTAGTGAAGTACAACTATCAATCCTTAGGAGACTTACTGGACTATAGAAGACATAGAAGGGTTAGTGCTTTGCAAATAACACATTTAATTTGCTCTAAATACCCCTTTCCCATACCTAACAGTAAATGTAACCCCTCCCAAAACTTAAACAAAAAATTAGTTCAACATGTGGACAGCAAAGGTAAGTTTAAAGTGATAAACGGGGATGGAAGGAAAATCAAGAGGGCAGGTGAGTCAGTAGGGGGAGTAAGGGTAAGGAGGACTTCTCCCATTATCTATAGTTAAAATCTGATATAAGCATGGCTATATCTCCCAGAGGGGTTGTTAAAGATATCAGGGTGCAATTACATTGTTTCTAGAGTTATCCCACAAGTGCAGGGTAGCAGCAGTGGTTGGATGTATTAATAGTGTTGGGACGTTGGAAGGCCAATGTAATCCCTTGGTCCACTGTTCCTCTATCTCAACCCATTGAGGTGTCACTGGTTGAGAATGCATGCTCTTTCATATAATAATGCTACGGATGACCAATGTAATCCCTCTGCCCAATGTTCCTCTATCTCAACCCGCTGAGGTGTCACTGGTTGAGAATGGCCGCTCTATCATATAATTATGCTACTATGAATGGCCGCTCTATAATACAATGTAATGTTAGGTAGACCCATACCTCTTCTCTGCATTTGGTTATATAATGTTGTTCTACTCTCGGGCTTCTACCAGTCAATACAAACTTATTGATAGCTAATTGTAAGGTTTGAAAAAAAGGTCTTGGGAATTTTGATTGGTAGAGTGTGAAATAAATATTGAATGGAGAATGGTCATTTTGATGGCTGCGATGTGTCCTGATCAAGTAAGAATTTTGCCCCTCCATTTCAATAAAAGAACCATAATTGATTTACTCAAGTTAACCTAGATCTGTTGGTAAAAATTAGTTATAGAGTATAACATAGAAATTCCCTGAAAGGTTACTGAGTCTACTCTCCAGTTATAAGCAAAGTTTCAAAAGTAAAAGAGCGCCATCCTCCATCTTGCATTTCCTCACGTTCAGTTTGCTTTTGGCCGAAAAACTGAGCCCTTTTGGTGGAAAAAAATAAGCCGATCTGTCTTTCATTATGAGACATCCTGCATGTGTGACTGTCCACGTGTGCTTTTTGCTGTGTATATCAGCTTTAATCTGGTGCCCGAACTACGGAGCTCTCATTCAAGCATCCATCTTGCACAGCCTCCGGCCACGTTGCCCACTATATGGTTTTTAGATATTTTTATGCCTGCAATGTCCAGTTAATAAAGTAATTAAACTGACTTTATCTTACTTTTTTTTTTTGGCGGGGGGAGGTGGGGGGGAAGTCCTGTAGAAATCTGTGTCTATTATCCTGGTCAGAGGTTGATCTAAAACATCCCTCCAGGCTATGTCAGAACTGTCTTAGAAAAAGCGATTCATAGCCATTGTTTTGAAAAATGAAGGGTAAACTTTGTGCATTTTATTATTGTATTTTTCATTGTCAGCTCTATTTGATGCTTGATAACTATAGCAAATTACATTTGATATGCTGCTGCGGTGAAATCAATTAATTTATCACAGCGGTTACTTGGGATCCCCTTAGTGATTAATTAATTGATTTCCCATCTTCAGCATACAAATGTAGGACTAGCAAAACTTTCACAAACTGCCGCTGCGTGTAGATATGACTTACTCCCCATAAACTTGGTAGATAAAGCAAACATACCCTTCTTCTGATTTTCTTAAAAGGTTACGCTAAGCATCAAACCCGCTACAGCTCAGTGTAGTGGTTTATGGTGTCAGGAGTAACCGGGTGCCATTCTCATGGTAAGGGGGCAAACCGGTTTGCAATGGTTTGCCACATAACTGTTTCCTGCCTTGGAGCCTTCAAAAATAGCAGGAGTGCCGCATCTGGCTTCTGCATAGGTACATATGTGGTGCCTTCTACACAGAATATTCTGATAACTAACATCGAAACTTTGAAGTGGTCATGGTTCTTGGAGTAATCTTTTAATTACCCTAGTCTTGACCATAACTTAGTTTAAAATGTTCCACTTGGTTATTCCCCTCATAATCAATACCTTCTCTGGTCCTGTACACCAAGTGTTTCACCTTATTATGCACCCCGATGTATCCCACCTAGTCTAATGATTCTTATAAATCACAGCTCTTTGATAAAGCTTTGCGTTTATCTTACTGTGCAATGTCTTTAAGATGGTGACCTCTAGAATGACATCAGTTTAAGGCAACTTCCTTCCTTAAACCATACTCAGCGGCAGAGAGGTAACCTGCATCCTATCCTGTACTCCAGTGCATTTATACTATACTATATTGTCCTAATGATGTCCCTAAGATGTCTTTGTGTTGTATCTTGCTCTGTCTATGCTGTACCAATGCCGGTAACTTCCTGCTGCCCTGTGGCAAGTTTTTTGGCCCATGTTATGTTCCTGCTGCCTCCATGCGGTATCTTGTTATGGTTATGTTATTTGTCACTGTGGCGGAACCAACCTCGCCACTGTGCACTGGAGGAGCCTGGTTGCTCGCCTGCTCCCTTTAGACTATGGCCCGGCAATTAAATTATTTTATTTTCCCGGCTGACAGGCTTATTCGTGCCTTTCTGCCGGGGTGTTCGGTAGATTTAATCTACCGAACAAAGTACCGAACGAGGGACCACCTGGGAACTGGAGTGTGCCATCAATTGACCACGTGGCAGTGGCCATTTTAACTCCTGAACGGCCAGCGGTGTTTTCATAGCCCA